AGAGATGATTGTTTAGATAGATTATTTAGTTGTTAAATTAACACAAATTAAAACCTAATATTTAATAGTTTAATTATACATATACAAATAAATAGTGAAATTAAACTCCAACAACTTCATTAAAATAATCAAATTATAACTCTCTCTCTTTGCAATTTCTGATAATTAAAATCCCTGAAAACACAATTTTATTATTTTCTTTTAAATTAAGTTTTTTAAATTCTTGCAAAAAATTTATAATTTTCTTTAAAATTAAGTTTTTTTTTTAAATTCTTGCAAACAAGTTATAAGTATCTATTTCTCCTAATTAACATCAAATTGAATTTGAGTGAGTATTACACAAGTCTTTTAGAATTCAATTTTAGACCTTAACTATTTTACTACTTACTGATATTGGTATGTTTGTCAAATCCTTAAAAAAAATATGATTGATTTGTCCTAAACTCAAAATTATTTTTAATTGTATAATTAACTAATCATGCTTTTTTACGTTATTAGTTAATTATGCAGAATAGTATTTGGTTTGGAATATAAAAAAAAATATAAATTCAAATAATTTTTTTAATTCCAAAACCTAAAGATTTATACTATTTAACAACTATGTATAATAATGACATCATACAAGACGCAAATTATATAAGAGTATTTTAATTCATGTTTAAATACTGTCCTTATCATATTAACAGAATTGTCTATTATTTGACAACAGACTTAAAAGTGTTTTAGGCCACCTTTAGTTACTAATGGCATATGATATTCAGTTGAAAAATTATGAGAAAAGGGAAAATTAAGCATAATTGTAAGAAATGAAAAGGTGGGCATGGTGGACAACAAAATACAAGTTTTTAGAAATTCCCCATTGATGATATTATTTGTCATTATTGGAGAATTGAGTCGAGATTTTTCTCTCCCACATGATCACATTTATTGGCTGTCAGATTGACAAGAATGTATGGTAGAGAATATGGAATAGCGTGTATTGCATACATTCATATATACTTATTAATATTTGGTACAGACACTGTACCATGCAAATGATGCTCATTCCTCTCTTCAATCACTAACCATTTCATCAATAGGGTCCCATCAAATGACCCCACTACGTAATCTAGTTAGATCACTAAAATAACTTAACTAACTACTTATTTAATAATAATTTTTTTGTTTAAAAGTTATTACATATTAATGAACAAATTTTTATATAAAAAAATAAATATAAATTCTAATGTGAACATGTGGTTCAAATTATTTTCGATGTGCATCTCATTCACATTAACTATTATTAATAATTAAATTAATTACATTTTCAGTTCTAATAAAATGGACAAATTTTAGTTTATTTTTTGATTTATTATCTCTCAAAACTTTTAAATAATTGTCATATATTTTTGTTAAATGATTAAATTCTGGTTTTAATATTTCTTAATAGTAAAATAATTATTTTTAATTTTTACTGTTCAAACTCGGAGAAATAAATAAAGAACATTATTTTGAGCTTTTTTTTATTTTATCAAACTCACGCAATAATAAATCACATAGATTATTGAGTATCACTTAGGATTAAATACCCAGTGACCTTTTGTTAAATACAATCCATTAACGGGCTTGAAATGATAAGGGCCACATTTTAAATTTATATTTTAAAAAAGAAAAGGTTATATATATATATATATAT